ATATTTTTCGTTTGACGATATATACACATCATCGTGTTGATTCGACAAAATATTTTGGGTACACAGTTTTCAATGAAAACAACGCATACTAATTGATTAGAAGAATTTTATGTAGCATGCATTTTAAAGAATAAATATTTAATATATCTAATGACTCTCTGAAAAATATTCAAACTAACCACATTTCTTCATAATTCGATTATTTATAAAGCAATCCCTTGAAATGTTGTTTTCAACAATAAGTCATTTATCAATCTTTTTAGACATATATTATTTATTTTACATATTTATTAAATTTCTCTAATAAAAAAAATTATGTTAAATAAATATAAGGTATTGCAAAATTTGAAAATACCAAAAACGAATTCTGGTAGCGTTTTATTAAATAGAATTGGAAATTTGATATTCAGTAATAGCACTGTAAATAAAAATCTTTATAACGTATTTAAAAGAAATTGAATTGGAAGAATCGTTAATATGAGTATTTGTAATAGTTTGAAGTTTCAGAAAGACAATAAGCAACCCAAACACAATTACATTTGTAAGACTTTTTTTTTAAATAGTTCTATTCAATAGACTGTATTACAATTATTTATTTCTAGTCATACTCATCGTACTTTAATACTGTTTACTAATTATTGTATGATTTAAATAGGAAATGTGAAAGATTATTTTTCTCTCCACTACTAAATGAAAAATGAAATACCAAAAAATTGGAGAAAATCTAACAATAGAATATTTGTTAATTTTGTTGAAAAATTTTGTTTTGTGTGGAATGAACCGCATCAAATTTTCTATAAGACATCAATGAATGAGAATGAAAATTTGAAAATTCTGGATTGATTACCACATCGTGGTAGACCAAGAAAGTTCGAAAATATTGCATTAAAATCACTATATAAAAATATTATACAAATTACAACAGCAAAATTGAAGAACACATTGGACCTACTACGATTTATACGATATAATAATTTAATATTCTTTTTATGGATAGATAATTTAACTATACAATAGCGCTTCAAACGGCAATTAAAATTAAGGAAACAAATTATCTATTAGATTCACATTAATATCAATATTAATCGGTGATACAGGTTACTTAAAAAAAAAATATGAATTACCATTTAATTATACGTAATAAAATAAGTAATGCATATTCTATTAGATTGGTTCATAAGTATGTTCTATTCTTCTAATTAAAAGTACGAAAATACAGTTCAAACCGTACGAATTTATTGGATAATCGGATACAACGTATTATATACAATATTATGAGTTAAATGTAAATATGTCTTCATAGCTCAGATGGTAGAGCGCTCGTTCGGCAAGCGGAAGGTCCTGGGTTCGAGTCCCAGTCTAGACAACCGAAGCCCGAATTATGCAATAGTTTTATCTTCAGTCTGCCTATGCTTTATTGATAAGAAGTTCTTCCTACTTCCTCTTTGTAACCATCATCTTTGAAAAATTCTAACACACTTGTAAAAAAGAATTAATGCAAGTTGTGTGAATTTCAGAGATATTTCCAGGAAGTTTGTTAGTAACAGTATCAATATAGCAATGCAGACTGCGATAAAATAGTTGAATAATTTGGTCTAAAAGTTGTTCTTAGGTAGCTCAGATGGACAGAGCATTCGCCCGAAAATAAAAGCGAGTGGTGTGGAAGACTCTTTTTTTTTTGCGGAATTACGTTTTTCTAGCCAATTGATCTCATAAATTATATGCTTAAATTAAGTAAATAAATAAATGCTAAATTTAATTTTATTATAAAATAATAATATTAAATATGAATATATTATAAATTTATTATAAATAATAAAATATTAAAATTATTATTATTATTTTTATTATTATCATATATATTATTAATTTAATTTACCTTTTAAGATATTATTTATATTATATTTATATATTTGAAAAGGACAAAATTTTGATTTATATAGAAGAATAATTATAACTTTCTTGACCTTTTTTTTTGTTCTTTGGTGTCCCTTTAATTGGTACTAATCCCTTCCGCTTCTATCATTTGGTACTTGGCCGAATGCCCGGCATTCGGATCCAGATCGAGTATTTACGTCAGCAATGCGGTAGGTATAATTCGCTTCCGACGAATGTCAATGCGATTTGTACAAGTACAATGCGTTCCGTGAACCATAGACTCATTTGTAAACGTCACAAATAGAAATAGAAAAATTAACAAAAGGTTTTACTACGACGGGATCATAAGAGTTCAAATATTTATGTATGTAAAATTAAACTGCACTTACGTAATATCTTGAAAATAAATTCGATGATTCTTCGATATTAAATTTACAAGTAAAATTATTTTTAACTGTATGTTATTATCTTTTCTTTATATTTTATGAGAATATAATAATAATAATAATAATATTATTAATATTATTATTATAGTTTCTATTTTTACTTTGATTTTATTCAAAAAACAAATATTTGAAAGTTGGAAAAAAGAAACTTGTTATTCTTGAAATTATTCTTAAGATTACAATATTATCTTATATGTTTGTTGAATGATAATAAAGTAGATATATCTCTAGTTAGGTATAGTTTCAATCGAATTAAAACGGAAAATTAAATTGAATCAAGGTGGAGTACAGCATTGAAACGTTATAGTAAACTGATTAAAGTTGCTCGACGATGTAGAAAGGCAAGTAATATAGATGGGGAATAATTTTATTAAAGAACATAGCTCGTTGCATTTCCCTCGGTTAATTTATTTTTCCCATATATTGTTTTCTCTTTAGACTCAGAAAGTTTTGCGTTTTAAACGAGATAGAAATTTATCAAGGAAAATGAATGAATGGGGGTCTTGTTTTATGCATTTGTAATTTCGTAACGTGCGACACATTTTTACACACCATATATATATAGAGAGAGAGAATATCTATATACAGTGGGTGTAGAAAGTATTCGTACACCGATCAATTTTCGTAAATGAAAAGATTGCAATTCGCAAATAATAACATTAAAAGACCAATGGAGTAATGGAATCGAGTTAGTTTTACAGACGGAAGTAAATTTCATAATTTTGGATCTGATAGACACTGCACTGTATGAAAGAAAAAAGATGAACAGCCGAAACAAGAAAACTTGCGACCCACAGTGAAACACTGTGGAGGTTCTGTACTTGTTTGGGACTGTATGAGTGCAGCTGGTTTTGGCACGACCATGATACCCTTCATTTCGCAACAAAATTACCTACAGTACTAGCGGATTTATCAATAGTTCAATTATTTTTAAGATGTTCGACTATTTTGATAGCACTTATCTTTGGATTCTGTTTTATCATTCTTGTGATAACTCGTCCAGTGCACTGATTCATTTTCCGTGGACGTCCATTTTTTGAGTTATTTTTCAGTTTCTTTCTTAATCCACACCTATCAATGATACTTTGTACAGTAGATCGAGGTCTGTTTAGAATTCGCGATATTTCTAATAAACTTTTACATTGATTATGTAAATTAATAATCATTTTTCTTTTTTCTATCGTTGTTTCCACACGTTTTCGTCCCATTTTCCAACAATAATTTTCGATCTTAACAAATTTTGAGCTCAACTGATGCCGATTACGTTCACAAACATACTGACGAAGTCAATTATAACTGGAAAGCAATCACGTGATGTGTTTACATTATGATTTATTAGGGGGACCGAAAAGTAATGTCGTTACTACGCATGTCAAATTATTTCTAATATTTTAAATCAAAAAACCGATTGATGATTTTTATCGTTACGATATTAAAAATTGGCTTAGCAGATAGAAAAAGGTTGTTGATAACGTAATTAATTAATTTAGTCAATTAATTTAATTATTGATTAATAATAAAAACTCGTAAAAAAGCCTCGTAAAAAAGCCTCGCAAACGAGCCTCGTAAAAGAGGCTCAATACAAATTATTTTGTATCGTTTTTTAATATTTAATTTTGTATCACAATGTATTAAGATTGAATGAAATTATTTTGTATCGTCATCTAATATTTAGTTTTGTATTACATTGTGTGTTGAAATTGAATGAAACTATTTTGTATCGTATTTTAATATTTCATTTTGTATTACATTATGTGTTGAAATTGAATGAAATTATTTGTATCGTCTTCTAATATTTCATTTTGTATTACATTGTATTGAAATTGAGTTTTATTATTTTGTATCGTCATCTAATATTTAATTTTGTATTA